CAAGGCATGTTGTTGGGTAAGACCTTGCTCGGGGCAACTTGCTGGAGAGTTATTCTGGCTGGCAACCAGCCCCGTCCTGCCCACATTTTCTCTTAAGAAAGGCTGAGTTAGCATTTCTCTGTTCGCTCAAGACTTTTTATGTGCAGCCTGCCTTCTGCTTGTCCAGGGAGCTTTTGGCTTCTGCACGGGGAAGGACTTCAGGTCTCCAAAAGCTCAGCATCCATGTGGGAGCCGGTAGGTGTCTCCTTTTATTCCTATGATAGATTTGATATAAGGGCTGGGGTGATATAATAGCAGTATCAAATACTATTATAAATAGTATTTGAGGGGCTACCCCAAAGAAAAGGAAGGGGTCAAGCTATTCTGCAAAGCACCTGAGGGCAAGGCAAGAAGCAACGGGTGGAAACTACTCAAGGAGAGAAGCAACCTACAACTAAGGAGAAACTTCCTAACAGTGAGGACAATTAACCAGTGGAACAGCTTGCCACCAGAAGTTGTAGGTACTCTTAACACTGGAGGTTTTTAAGAAGAGATTGGACAACCATCTGCCTGAAATGGCATAGGGTCTCCTGCTTGAGCAGTGGGCTAGACTAGAAGACCTCCAAGATCCCTTCCAGCTGCATTCTTATTGATTGAATTCAAGCCAGACTCCGAAGACCGTCCTGGCTTCCTCCAATGTATTCCATGCTACTTCTCACTCGTGTTTCATACTAGAAGGAAGGAGTGCCTTAACGACTGCCTTGTCCCAAAATGTATTTATTTATTTTATTTATTTTTATTTGTCAATTGCTTACAAGATAATAGGTATATATATATATAATGAAACAAAATAATAGGACGGGGATGGTAGGCACATTGGTGCGCTTATGCATGCCCCCCTACAGACCTCTTAGGAAAGGGGTGAGATTAATAGTAGACAGTCTAAGGTTAAAGTTTTTGGGGTTTGGGGAAGAAACCACAGAGTCAGGTAGAGTATTCCAGACATTGACCACTCTGTTGCTGAAGTCATATTTCCTGCAATCAAGTTTGGTGCGATTAACCTTGAGTTTGTACCTGTTGTGTGCTCTTGTGTTGTTATGGTTGAAGCTGAAGTATTCATTGACAGGTAGGACATTGCAATGTATGATTATATATAGTATACTTAGATCGGATCGAAGGCAGCGTAGTTCTAGATTTTCTAGGTCTAGAATTTCGAATCTGGTGGCATAAGGTATTCTGCAACGAGTAGAGGAGTGGAATACTCTTCTTGTGAAATATTTCTGGACTTTCCCAATTGTGTTAATATCAGATATGTAATGTGGGTTCCAGACTGATGAGCTGTATTGATGAATGTTTCCTCTTTGTTCATTTGAATTTGGTGAATGTTTCCTCTTTGTTCATTGGGGAAGGTGCTTGGGCTGAGTTTTAATACAGCCCCAGAAAAGGGACGCTGGCTATTTGTCATCGAAAGCACCTGGGCTTCAAGGAATCAAAATAATTCAGAAATTATGAAGAAGAGTTAAGGATTCCTGCAAAGCCGAAGCCTTAACGCTGGGGCAGCACACAATGCAATAGAATGGAATGATGGAATATATGCAAGAGAATAGAATTGAGGCAATGGGATACGAGGTACAGAGTGGTTAATACTGGTTTAGTTTGCTTGCTGTTGTTAAGGAAAGGTAGAGATTCTAATGATAAAATACGTTTTTTTTTTAGTTTTTGGTGCAAGCGATGGATGTTGTATTTGGATTATTTTATTCTTTTTTAAGTCAAAAGTGATCACAGGGCATGGATTCTATGGCCTTACAAGGAAAATAACAGGAAGAAAATGGATTTCTGCTTTTTGCAGGGAAAGTCCATTATCGGCAGTCCTCAATTTAACGACAGCAGTTGGGATCAGAATTTCAGTTGCTAAGTGAGGTGGTTGTAGAGTGAATCATGTCTGACTTTATAACCTGTTTAGGCCACAGTTAAAGAAATCACTGCAGTTTGTGCAGTTGTTAAGTGAATGCAGATCCCCTCCCCCATTGGCTTAGCTTTGTCGGAGGTCAGTGGGAAAGGTCACGAATGATGGCCATGTGGCACCCCACACACACACCATGGTACCCGTTGCTAAGCAATGGAATTTTAATGTGACCACGAGGATGCTGCAGTGGTCATAAGTGCAAGGACTGGATATCAAGTCTCTCTTTTTTTCCCCAACTTTGAACGGTCGCTCAGTAAATGATTGTACATTGAGGACTAGCTGTATAGCTAGTGCTTATATTTTGCTTTAGTGCGGTCTGAAGCCCTGGGAAGGTTCAACTGTTATCACAGTGCCCAAAATGCCCTGGAAGATGTATGTAAAGACTTAATTTTCTTTTTCAATATATATGTTATTGATACATTTTTCTTTAATAAACATAAAAAACCTCAACATCTGTAAGATGAGCGTGTTGTCTGAGTACAGTTTTAAACAACGAAAAGACAATGAGCATAATGGCAATCATAATATACACATCATTGATAATGATTACATAATACTAGTATTGGCTAAGAGTATTAAAGATTAACAGTGTTGGAAGGGTCCTTGCAGGTCATCTAGTCCAACCCCCCCCCCCCCCCCCAAGCAGGAGACCTTACATTGTTTCTGACAAATGGCAGTCCAGTGTCTTCTTGGAAGCCTCCAGGGATGAAGCTCCCACAACTTCCGAAGCTTATCCAGGCCAGGTGACATATAATCAGAAGGAAACTCAGAAAATTACAAGGACCCAACAATTCAACCTTGGGAGCCACATATGTTCTCCATTGTGACACCCACATTGGGGTTCCTGTCATGACAATTTCGTGGAGGCTCAACAGAAGTTGAGCTTGACTCGAGACTTTCAGAAGACATTGGATTGCCACTTGTCAGGAATGGTGTAGAGTCTTCTGCTTGGGCTAGGGGTTGGACTAGATGACCTACAAGGTTCCTTCCAACTCTGCTAATCTGATCATCTTACTTCCATTCTTCCTGTTGCCAATTCAGGAGACATTGCAAGACAGATTTGGCACTGGGCGCATGTCAAAACATCTTCCTATCAGTTGTGTACTTCTGTGCAACCTCTACAACATCACAACATCAGTCGCTTTGGGCGCTGTTGCATCTTTCCCTTTGCTGGTAGCACCAAGTATGAATTAATGTCACAGTCAAGCAATTTTCCAGATTAATGATAGTCTTCGTGTTCCCATTACACATGCACAATTACGCAGTATTATGAGATGAACAAAGCTGTTTAAAAAACACCCTGTTTAAGCACTCTCACAAACATTTGACAAGGGAATTTATATTTATAATTATAATTTATATTTCAGGAAAACGGGATGATGGGTTTTTAATTTTTTGATTTACACTTTTTACATGCTAGGCAGAAACTTAAGAGAGCCCCAGTGTCCAGTTCTGCTGTGGAAAGCATTTCCAGTTTGGGTTTGTTTGTTTGTTTTTTTTTTGCAGCAAAGCAAGTAAAATCATTTGATTATCGAATGAGTAATTCTGTTGAGAAAACATTGCATGGACATATCCCTTGTGGTCACTAGGATTTGCGTTTGACTCAACATAAACTTTTATTTACCTTCCTGTTGTACAGATGTCCTGGAAGAGATTCATTCTTTTTCTCCCTTTTCAAAATTAGATTTTTTTAAAAAAAATAGTTTATCCAAGTATAAAATACAAAGGAAAAAAAAGATGTGAAAACAAGAAAGGGGAAAAAAAGAGAGGATAAAGGGAGAAAAGGAAAAAAAGGCACCGCCTTTTTAACTCTCTTTAGCTGAGTAGAAGATAACAACATGACAACCATAACTTTTTGCTTTTACACAACAGTATCTACAGGCCATTTCTGTAGCAACAAACCTATCTAATTTACGAAAGCAAAATCAGTTTTGTTTTTTTCCCATACTACAAGCAACAAAATCCGGAAGCAATTTCAGAATAGAAACAGGGGTTAGGTATATATTCTCTTCTTTGGATCAAAGAACCAATTTGACCATCTCTGCTTTTCTTTGCATGGGGAATAATATAGCATTTTTTTTTTTATAATCCTAAAGGGAGAAAACACTTTTTTTTTAGTTTGGGTATTTTACTAATTATAGGTCCAGTTAAGTCCATTTAGCTCATTACATTCGAATCTCTCCCTGGAGTTTATCCTCATGCAGTGGAACTTTTTTTCTTCTCTTCTTTTCAAATCCAATGGATAGTATTTTACAGACTTTGGACATTATTCAGCATTACTTAAAGAAACAGAGGACATGCATTTATTCCAGGGGTGGGATTCAGCCGGTTCGGGCGAACTGGATGTTAAATTTACACCTGGTTCACCAAACTGGTAGTTGAACTGAGTGGCTGGCTCCGGCCACCCTTCCCCTCCCCTCCCAGGAGTCTCCAGGTGACCTGTTTTGGATGCAGGTAAGTTCAGGGTCTGCGCAGAGGCTTGGGGAGGGTGAAAAATGCCCATCCTGGAAGGTCCGGAAGTCCGGAAATGGGCTTGCTTCCGGCTTCTAGAGGCCCTCCAGAGCCCAGGGGAGGCCGTTTTCGCCCCCCCCCCCCAGAGGCCCGAGGGAAGCCTCTGGACTCTGGGGAAGGCGAAAAATGGCCAAACTGGAAGTTCAGAAACAGACCCATTTGTGGCTTCCGGAGCCCAGGGGAGGCCATTATTCGTCTTCCCAGAGGCCTGAGGGAAGCCTCCGGATTCTGGGAAAGGCAAAAAACAGTCAAACCGGAAGTTCCAATAGGCCACGTCCACCATGGCCACGCCCACCCATCAACCGGTTCTCTGCCCGGTTGCTGGGATTTTTGAATCTCACCCCTGATTTACACACTTGTTTTGTACATACAAAACTGACTTAAAACTTCCTTTCAGCGCATATACCAAACTTTTAAAACCCGTCCTAATTAATGAAGACATTCAGTTGAAGTCACTCCTCTCTCCAGCTTGTCTTCATTTCCTTTTCAAAATTTAAAAATCTTTTGGGCTGCTGGAGTGACCGCTTTGTCCTTCCTTTTCTAGAGATGTCTTTCCCGATTGACCTCTCCGTAGCAATGTGGACGCTTGGATTTGGAGCCATCGGGGCTGCCGTGACGGGGATGATCCTGGCCAATACGGATTTGTTCCTCTCCAAAGCGGAAATGGCCTCCATGGAGTTCCTAGAAGAAATAGATCTGAAGACCTTGGGCCAAGGTAAGACTTAGAAGGAAGATCCTTCAGGCTCCTAATTGCGAATAGAGTAGAGTAGAGTAGAGTAGAGAGTAGAACAGAACAGAACAGAATAGAATACTTTTTATTGGCCAAGTATGAATGGACACACAAGGAATGTGTCTTTGGTGCATAAGCTTTCAGTGCACATAAAAGAGACATTCATCAAGAATCATAAGCTACAACACTTAATGATAGTCATAGGGTACCAATAAGCAATCAAATTGTACTAGGAAACAGTCAATAAAAATCATTAGGATACAAGCAACACAGTCATATAGTCACAAGTGGGAGGGGATGGGTGAAAGGAGGGATGGGAGGATTAATAGAAATGCAGACTTAGTAAATAGTTGGACAGTGTTGAGGGAATTATTTGTTTAGCAGAGTGATGGCGTTGGGGAAAAAACTGTCCTTGTGTTTAGTTACTTTATAAATTATAGAAATGCACCAGAGTCACAAATCTCCTCCCCCCCCCCCCCCCCCCCGGAGAGAGTAAAGGTCTAATAGCAAACCTCAGATTTTACTCTGCTAGAGTGATGTAGAGGTGGGAACATTTCCTCACTTGGAAAGTTATCTAGAGTTTCATTTCATTTACATGTGAGGTTTGTTTTTTTCAGAAAAAAACATTTCCTTTCCACTCAAAATACAAGAATGTGTTCAAAAACACATTCCCTCATATTCTTATTATAAATTTTATTAATTTTCTGTTGTTTACATGTGTGAGTGCTTAATGAACATCATGTTGTCTGGGTATTTAATTTGCTTAACAATAGAGATTACATTCTTATCTTCACCCCTTGTGTTAAAGCAAGAAAATTTTGGGCAAAAATACACAAGTGATTAGGAAAGATGATAGGAAAACATGTAGATTTTAAACCTGAACTGTTTTTATTAGGCATAATATCAGAAAAACTTGATGAGCGAAGTATATACTGTATATTATATATACTGTGTTTGTCAAAAAATAAGGCCGGGTTTATTTTCTTTTGACCCCTGAAAAAAACAGCTAGGCCATCTTTTCGGGGGTGACTCCCCCCCCCCCGCCTAGAGCGCCCCGTGGGCAGCCACGCCTCGCCACCAGCCGCTCCTAACAGCCGATCATAGCGGAGCACAGAGAGCTCCCTACCCCCGCCAAGCGCCTTTGCTGCAGACCCGGGTATGGTGCTGGGTGCAGGCCGGGTCAGTGGGTGGGTGGCAGTGTGGATGTTGGCCTCGGTGGCGGTGGGGCACTTTGCATCACGCCTGCCGCTATTGCTTCCTCTGCCGCTGTTGCTTTCCTTTCTGCCCATGCACTGCTGCGGTTGGAGTGCTACACATTCCTCCACCGGTAGCTTTTCAGCTGCTTCTCGGGCAGGGAAGCCATAGCTTCCACGGTTCCCACTGGTGCCTCTCTCACCAGCGCCGTCTCCAACAACAGGAGCAGCGGTGAGACAGACCCCGCTGCCGATGAGAACCGCCTGCCCTCCCACAGGGGCATCGCTTTGATTGACGGCAGCTGTGTCGACAAGGTCCTGCAAGTCGGTGAGTCTTTCAGGGTTGGGTGGGCGGAAGTGGGGGAGGGAGGATGATGCAATTGTTTCTCCCCCCCCCCCCACGCCTCGCTTTGCTTCCCGCCCCAGAGCTTTGGGTCATGGTCTCGTCCGTTGGTCTCGTCTCCCAAAGGATCCACCCCAAAGGAGGATTCACCCCCTTAAATGCACTCCCCTCCTTTGGGGGGAATCCTCTGATGAATCCTCCTTTGGGGTGGATCCTTTGGGAGAATCCTCTGGGAAGCTTGGTGCTAAGGGTCTGTAGGATGATTCCCTTTCTCTTCTCTTTGGATTGGAAGGTTTGCCTCTGCTCGAAGGGCAAAGTGGATAGATGGTTCCCTTTTTAAAACTACCGGGGAAGGTTGGGGAGGAAGCTGCCCAGCCAGTCTGTATTCTTAGGCAACTGACGGAGGGAATGGGAGTAAAGAAAATTTAAAGAGGTGGGGAAAGGTGCAGGGAGGTGGGTTTGGGCGGCTGGAGCAAGAGGAAGAGTGCCCGACCGTACAAGGGACGAGACCATGACCCGAAGCTCTGGGGTGGGAAGCAAAGCGAGGCGGGGGGCGGGGGAGAGAAACAATTGCATCATCCTCCTTCCCCCACTTCCACCCACCCAACCCTGAAAGACTCACCGACTTGCAGGACCTTGTTGACGCAGCTGCCGTCAATCAAAGCGATGCCCCTGCGGGAGGGCAGGCGGTTCTCGTCGGCAGCGGGGTCTGTCTCACCGCTGCTCCTGTTGTTGGAGACGGCGCTGGTGAGAGAAGCACCAGCGCCAGCAGGAACCGTGGAGGCTATGGCTTCCCTGCCCAAGAAGCAGCTGAAACGCTGCCGGTGGAGGAATGTGCAGCACTCCAACCGCGGCAGTGCATGGGCAGAAGGGAACGCAACAGCGGCGGAGGAAGCAATAGCGGCAGGCGCGATGCAAAGTGCCCCACCGCCACCGAGGCCGACATCCATGCCGCCGCCTGCCTGCTGACCTGGCCTGCACCCAGCACCATACCTGGGTCTGCAGCAAAGGCGCTTGGCGGAGGTAAGGAGCTCTTCGCACTCCGCTATGATCGGCTGTTAGCAGCTGGTGGCGAGGCGTGGCTGCCCGCAGGGTGCTCCTAATGGCAAATTCCCCCCGCCCCCCCCCCAAGTTTGCATGTTTTAAACTAGGCTTAAATTTGGGGGAGGGGCTTAATCTCACCTTATGCTTAGAAAACATGCTGGGTCTTCCTTATTGGGGGAGGCCGTATTGTTGGAGAAACACGGTATTTAATATTGCATGATTTGACAGCAGTGAGGATTATATTCACACAATATAATCGCGAGACGAAGAGATAATTGGGATTGTGCAGAAACTAGATTGTGCAGAAATTGATAAACTTAACATTGAAAATTAAACAGAAAGAAGACACAGAATATTATTAAACATGGAAATTTACCAGTGGTTGGGACAAAAGGGGTGGAGGTTTCCTCTTGTATTCTTGAGATCCAGTTGTAATTCTGTAAGTCTGTAGTGATTCTCAGTCCTCCAGGTCATGGTTTTCCCAAAGGTGCTTTTTCTTCAAGAGGCAACTGGGACTTTCTGGTTTTTCTTGGAAGACGTTTTGCTTCTTCAGCTCAGAGCTCCTCTTCTTGGAGGAGAAGCGAAATGCCATCAAAGAAGAAACAAGGAAGTCCAGTTTCCTCTTGAAAGAGCACCTTTGTGGTTCTGTAGTTTGGGAACTCAGAAGGTGGGGCTTAGTTTGGAAAAAAATAGGTGAATTTTAGTGTTCTCCCAAAACACTCTTCAGGAGAAAAACATATCTAAATGGGATTAAAATAGCACAGACTTTTTTCAACTTGCTGCTCTTCAATATATTGGGATTATAACTCCTGGGAAGCATGGCTGTCTAGAAGGCATCAAACTGACCCAATAGATAGTAACAGAATTAATTGTCTCCAGATCATGTCTTCATGATTTAAGGTGATTGATCTTGAAAAGCTAAGTAGAGTTGGACCTGCTTAGAAGCTGGATGGGAGATTCTCAGAGTTACAGGCTATCAATAGAAGCCAGTACTTGTAGCTCAGGGTTGAATGGTGGGGTCCTTGGTGCTTTCTAAGCTTGGTTGTTTTCTAGGTAGGGTTCGCGGTCCTAACATGGATGATGGTTACCTAGTTGGGTAAAGAAACGTCTGCAGGAAAGCAACCAAACTTGGAAAGTTGAGAAAGTGTCCATGTAGAAGGCAGAATCCAATCACTTCCATCTTGGCTGCTAAAACAACAATGAAGACTTCTCCATGAGTTTACCAGGATGTGAGCACGATTTAAAGAACCTTAATTTTTATCTTTCCTTCCCTGGACCTCAAGGAGAACAGAGTACATTCAAAGCCAAGGATCTGTGGAAGACGAAGGGTGCTGTGATCATGGCGGTGAGGAGGCCTGGATGATTTTTGTGCAGAGAGGTAATGTATGTTCTCCAGTAGAACAGATTCTAAGAATTAATGCAAGGGTCTTCAAACTTGGCAAGTTTAAGACTTGTGGACTTCAATTCCTAGAATCCCTGAGCTAACATGACTGGAAGAGGAATTCTGGGAGTTGAAGTCCACAAGTCTTAAAGCTGTCAAGTTTGAAGGCCCCTGAATTAAGCAGGTTGCCCTCTTAACTTGCCCGTCCGTTATCTTGAAACCCCAGCTTAGGGGCTTGATGTGCTGCCTACATTTTCTGAACGCTAATGTACCAACAAGACTCGCCCAGACACAAAAATGCAGGGCCCATCACTTATTTTGTGGTAATCACTCCAGCAAAAAGCTACGCTGTGATCTGATGCTGTGTGCAGGAGACCTATAATAGAATCACTGACAATGTAAACTCACAATGCAAGAGAAGATAATTCTCCATGTTGAGTTATAGGTTGCATTTCAAAATGCGTTGTTAAATGAGAATGGAATGTTCTACATATTAGTATCTAGGCCGTTTATCCAGTTAAATGCAGTATTTGTTAGTTGGAGAAAATCAGATTTTCATTCTCTATAAGCTTTCAAATGGCAGCTAGTCGTTACAGGATCCAGTGTTTGGCGAGGAGCACCATAGTCACATTCAGGGAAGGATCCTCTGCCCCAGTGGTTTATTTAACAACCGGTTCTCTGCTCTAATGATTTGTTCCAACAACCAGTTCACCAAACTTCTCAGGAAGTTAACAACCGATTCTCCCAAACTGGTGCGAACTGGCTGAATCCCACCACTGTTCTGTCCCATTTAAACAGTCTTAACAGGTGCCATGCAAGATGCAGATCCTATTCAGAGCTATTTGAATAAATTAGTAGGATAGCCAGAGCCCTTAGACTTATATACCACATCACGGTGCTTTTTAAACCCTTCTCTAAGCGGTTTGCAGAGTCAGCCTCTTGCCCCCAACAATCTGGACCCTCATTTTACCCACCTCAGAAGGATGGAAGGCTGAGTCAACCTTTAGGAGGGGAGGGGAGGGGAGGGGAGGGGAGGAAGGAAGGAAGGAAGGAAGGAAGGAAGGAAGATAGCAATAAGTGGTTTACAGAGTCAGCCTGTTGCCCCCAACAATCTGGGCCCTCATTTTACCTACCTCAGAAAGATGGAAGGCTGAGTCAACCTTGAGCCTGTCAGGATCAAACTGCTGGCAGTGGGCAGTGAGTTAGACTGCAATACCGCATTCTAACCACTGCGTCACCACGGCTAATGAAGGACACGTCTCCAAGTTGACGCAACTTGGATCTTCTTGGACCGCAAGCCTTCTCTGTCACCACCACCTGTGCGCACAATATGTGGACATTAATTGCAGCCTGTCTGCACAACTTCCTGGACAACCCACCGCAGCTGAAGGGAGCAGCACCCCGCCTCCAGAAGTTGTGGGTGCACCATCACTGGAGATTTATAAGAAGAGATTGGACAGCCTTTTTATCTGAGACTGTGTAGGGTCTCTTGCTTGAGCAAGTGATTGGATTAGAAGACCTCCAACCTCCCTTCCAGCTCTTGTTATTTTGTTATACCAGGATGGAATGCAAGGCTTTTTCCAGTAATAAGTTTAGTAAGATTTATTGAAGGAGGATAAAATAAGATTACGGAAATCTCAGCAACCCAACTGATCTGGTGTTTGAGGCAGATACTTTATCTGTCTTTTATTTATAATTCTCCCGTGAACATGATTAGCAGTTTGTTTTGTTCACTGAGAATGGAGCAATGTTAGTTAGAATGCAGATCTTTCTCTGGTTTCAAGCATACCATTACATCCTGTGTCCCTTCGCTGCCAGTCCTTTTGGGCAGTGGATCAAAAGGAGCACAGGAGAACAAAGCTTTTAAACATTTCTTAAATCTACATTAAAAAAAAAACAACACCTGGCAGGTACAGGGAAATTGGACAAAAGTAAAATGATAAAGAACAAAAGGCTACATAATCTCTAGCAGCAGAAAAGGCAGAGATTTGAAAATGTGGAACCAAAAAGAAGGAACTGTGCAGCCTAGCAGAGACAGCAGCTTATTAAACTGGAAATGGGCCAGGTACCCAGCGGGATGTGATGGGTAGGACCTTGTTAAAGAGAGAAATCCAGTAAGGAGTAAGGAGAAATTTCTTGACAGAATAACTGTAGAACAGCTTGCCTCCCGGAGTTGCTCCATCACTGGATGTTTTTTAGAAAAGATTGGACAACGTTTGTCCAGGATTCCCCAAAGGTGCTTTTTTCAAGAGGCAACTGGTTTTTCTTTGAAGACCTTTCACTTCTCCAAGAAGCTTCTTCAGCTCTGACTGGATGGTGGGGAAGGGAAGGTTTTATACTTCTTGCAGGTAGCTGGTCGTTTGCATTCTTTTCAGAGGGTTGTTGAGGCCACTTGTGTCCCTTCATCAGTGTTCAATGTGTAGGGATGACACAGATCAAAAACATCCTGCAGAAGGCACAGCTCTACCACACAGTTGGACAGTTCCAAGAAGTCTCCATGCCCATTTGCACCATGCAAACAAATCTCCAGGTGGCCTCAATGACCCTCTAAAAGGATGCAAATGACCAGCTGTCTGCAAGGAGTATAAATACTTCCATTCCCCACCATCCAGCCAGAGCTGAAGAAGCTTCTTGGAGGAGAAGCGAAACGTCTCCAAAGAAAAACCAGAAAGTCCAGTTGCTTCTTGAAAAAGCACCTTTGAGATAACCCTGGCCTGGATGATGGAGAAGCTCCGTAAACATTTGTCCAGGATGGAACAAGGACTTGCCTTGAACAGGGGTTAGACTAGAAAATCTCCAAGGTCACTTCCAGTCTTCATGATTCTACAGTCATCAAAAAGTGGGCCACTAATCAAACTCCCAAGGCCAGGGATTTCTAGCAAGATGATGGGATTTGCAAACTCATTCCTTCAAGGACAAAATAATGTAGCTCTATGTTGAAGTAGAGTCTTACATTGAGATATCACTATTTTAAATACCTCCTGTTTGCTGCATTTGTCTTTCTTTTCTTACCTATCTTCCTCTACCTAGAAAAATAACGCACCAGAGGTACTGTAAGACAGAAGTCTCATTCCTGCAATCTGATTTTCCTACGGGGGCAGAAGGTTTATTTTGTGTGTGTCTATGTGTGTGATTCAGAGCATGAAATATTAGGAGCAACCTGAAGTTGTTTACCCCCCAAGTACAAGTGCTGGATCTTAGAACTAAATCCAGACAAGCTTAGACCAGTTTTTAGGCATATTCCCTTACATGCCAGTTGCTTGCTCAGGGCCCCAAGGAGCTTCTAGGAGTGACGGGAGTTATTTGGGTAGCTGGAAAGAAAAACAGCTTATGGTTTGTTAGCTTCTGCTTAGGAATTCATAGTAAAATTTCCTTTTGAGCCATGCTGCGCTTTGAGTGAATTCACAAGCACATCATCTGTGTCATTTTCCGCTACTGCCGTCTTTCGAGATATTTTTTTTTTAAACCCAACAACTCTGGAATTTTGTGGTGGTTTCTCTCCTTTATGTATTAAATGTGTACGCCAAAGGCGGCTTACAGACAGTGCCATATAAAACATTAAAATGATAAAAAAAAATATCTTAAAATTAAAAATGCAATTAAAACTAAACAGGATAGAGAGGGATTGGGAGCAAAGTGCACACAGGATGGAGGTAGGATGTTCTCTGTTCTAGTAGAGAACATTAAGAGTAGAGTAGAGCCATTAAGAGCCATGGGGGCACAGTGGTTAGAATGCAGCATTGCAGGCTAACTCTGCCCACTGCCAGGAGTTCAATCCTGACCGGCTCAAGGTTGACTCAGCCTTCCATCCTTCGGAGGTGGGTAAAAGGAGGACCCAGATTGTTGGGAGCAAGAGGCTGACTCCATAAACCACTTTGAGAGGGCTGTAAAGCACTGTGAAGCGGTATATAAGTCTAAGGGCTATTGCTATTAGCCACCTCCAAAGTGCCCCACCCTCACTTGCTTAATATTTGGCTCCAAAGTGCCCTCACCCTCACTTGCTTAATATTTGGTCTTCAAGGCCTTCCAGAAGACCAAATATTAAGCAGGTTTAACCCAGCTTAGTTTTCAAGTCCAGCAAAATTCTTCCTACCTTGCACAGAAGGTGGTATAGCATAGTGGGCATAAATCCCTACAGTAGCTGTTCTAATTTGATACATGTGCCTTGGATTTCAACCAGAAGCATTTGCCAGCATAGCATTGGCAATAAAGGCGGGATGAATTTTGGCCTCCGTGTTTTAGCCTTTATTGAGGAAGTCTCTCTGTTGTTGGCTGTTTCATGCCACTTTCAGAGATGTAAATTAGAAGCTTCCAAGGTGCAGAACAATAGTTGGGTATCTAGTTGATCAAAGGAGGGGGAATTTGAGGTTGATATGGAAAGTTTAGGTTAGTATACAAAAAAAACTCAGAAAGGGAAGCTAAACTTGTTGTAACCCGGCTCTTCCCAAACCAACATTCCTTCGGGGAAGAAGATAAATTCAGTTAACTCTGCAGAAATTCTCATCTTCCAGACCTCTTCACATTCAGAAAACCCTTGAGAAGTTGGAACTTTTCACTTGGTTCAAATATCCCTCAAACAGGATGAGGCAGCAATTTCCCATGGGAAGACAGCAATAGCAACAGCACATAGACTTATATACCACTTCACAGTGCTTTCCAGCTCCCTCTAAGTGGTTTACAAAGTCAGCCTCTTGCCCCCAACAATCTGGGTCCTCATTTTACCCACCTCGAAAGGAAGGAAGGCTGAATCAACCTGGAGCCAGTCAGGATTGAACTATTGGCAATGGGCAGAGTTGGCCTGCAATACTGCAGTCTTAACTGCACCACGGAAGGAAGGAAGGAAGGAAGGAAGGAAGGATAGCAATACAGACTTATATACCACTTCACAGTGGTTTACAGCCCTCTCTAAGTGGTTTACGGTGTCAGCCTCTGGTCCCCAACAATCTGGGTCTCCGTCGATCCTTGGCCCCTGGGAAAAGTGGCTGGCGTTTTACAATGGTGCTGAAAGAAGTGACTTGTGACCCTTTTTCACAGTTATGACCTTCCCAGCACCCCCACGATCACGTGATCAGAATTCGGATGCTTCTCCATTGGCTCACCATTATGACTGTTGTTGTGTCCCGAGATCCTGTGATCTCTTTTGGTGACCTTTTCGACAAGCAGTGGGGAAGCAGATTCGCTTCACGACTGGGTAACTAAACTGACCGACTGCAGTGATTCGGTTAAGAACCTAGGCAAGGAAGGACATAAAATGGAGCAAAATTGACTTAACAAATGTCTTGCTTAATGAGAGAAATTTTGGGCTTGCTTGTGGCCGTACGTTGAAGATAAGCATCTATTTCAATAGATCTATTGCAGTTGGGTTGGGTGATGGTTGACTCAACGTGTCCTTCCCTTGGTAGGAGGCCGCTGAGCTGTCCTCTCTGAAGCCCCAACTCGACCAGGTAGGGGTCCCTCTTTATGCTGTGGTGAAAGAGAACATTGGGACGGAGGTGGCCGACTTCCAGCCGTACTTCAAGGGAGAGATATTTCTGGATGAAAAGGTAGGTCGGATTTTTTTTTGAAATGAATTAAGAAGGAGGAGATAACCCATTGAACAGAGGTGGCATTCAGCCGGTTCCGACCAGTTCTGCAGAACCGGGAGCAGAAATTTTGAATGGTTCGGAGAACCAGCAAATCCCACCTCTGACTGGCCCCGCCAACCCCATCTCTTCTCTGCCTCCCATTGAGTCACAGCTGATCGGCTGGGTCACCTTTGCACAGGAGAACGGAGCTGGAAAGCAGGTTAGTGGGGTGGGGAGCGGGATTTTGCAGTAAACTTCCCCTGCCACGCCCATCAGAACTGGTAGTAAAAAAAAATTGAATCCCACCACGGCTTAGGGAGAAAATATATTGAGAGAGAATCTAGATCAGCAATTTCAAAAGATTTGGGGAAACGAAGGCGCCTTCTGCAACAAGAACCTGACTACTTGTTGATTTTTAACGTGAAAACATCTCGTAAGATGGATTTTTCTGGGCCTGCGGTTTCCCATTAAGTCTCGAATATGGATCCCATCAGGTGAGCTACAAATAAAGAGGTTTGGAGAGGGAAGCGGCTGGCCTGGAAATTAGCCCCGCAGAGCTGCGCCTTAAGAGGTTAATCAGATTTCGCCGTTGTGTCATGAATGGTCACGGAGGGAGTACGCTTCACCTTGGAACGGTTGGTTTGCTCATGCAGGGTCCCCCATATTAAACACTAGATCAACAAAGAAAGATTAAGAGCGGCTGTTTCACCCCGCCTGCCCTTTTCATCTTCTCTAGAAATGGAGGCGTGTTTCCCCAGGGAGTCATCCCTTCTTCTCAAATGTTAAAGGAATGACATTAAATCAAGGGGGTGAGGGAAAGTAACTGAATGTGGCAGTGCTTATCTTGGGAGGGTGGGTTGGTATGCCTGGCAGACACGTCTCAAGGAGGAAGACAACGGGAGTCTCCATTGCAGGATTCTTAGCAATAGCAATAACACTTAGGCTCATGTACCGCTTCACGGAGCTTTCACAGCCCTCTCTAAGCAGTTTACAGAATCAGCCTCTTGCCCCCAACAATCTGGGTACTGCATTCTAACTGCTGGGAGGGAGGGAGGGAGGGAGGGAGGGAGGGAGGGAAGGAAGGAA